TATATATATATATATATATATATATATAACATGTTTTCTACTATTACTTGACGAGTCAATTATATTAAATAGTTTAAAGTCGATTATATACTTATATATTAAAAACTAACAAGCTATTAAAAAGGTAAGAAAAGTTAAATATCACGTTATAAAAACTGCACCTTAGACCATGGTGCTCTTGGGTTGGTTAGTATCTAGGATTAGGATTAGGGGAGGTGAGAACTCACGATTTGTTGGAGATGGAGTTCACTGCCACAAGTGGTAGGGATCATGGTGGGAACAGATGGAGGAAAGGGGTTTTGATCAATGGTGTAAGGGGATGGAATCACTGGATCTGAAACGTAATTGATGGTGAAGAGAAAGGGGGTTGCTGGTGGTGGCGGGAAGCAGATCGGACCAGGTGAGGGGGTGGGTTTTTTGTCGCCAGGAATGAAGGGGGGAAGGATTTTTTGTCGTCAGGAACGAAAGGGGATGGGCCTTTGTGTATATATATATACTAGTTTTGTACCTGCTACAATACAGCTAAATATAAAACTTTCTTATAAATAAAAAATTAGTTAATTATTTATAAAATGTTCTACCGTTTAAATTATGACATTATTTGCAAGTAAAATAACATTTTGATAACTAAATGAGAAATACGAAAGTTGAATCCTATAAAAATCATCCATCAAATAGGGATTTTTTTTAAGAAATAGTTCATCTTTAAATCTCAAATGAATTTGAGGACTTTGTTTTGACAACTTCAATCTTCATCCATATTTGAAAGAAACATTAAAAATACTATAGTATTATACTTTTCAAACAAGAAAAAACTATAAGGCGAACTTATCGAAATAGAACTATGTAAAAGAACATGATGTATTGAATATTGAAATTACTTTGTGATTTTAAGCAATTTATTGCATCTACAAAAAAATGGATTAGCCTCGTTGACATATATTGTCTTGAAAACATATAGTTGATAGTGAATATTAAGTGTAGATAGTGTGACTTTATAATGTCATATTGACCAACATGCATGATGTTGAACGAATTGAAATCATTTCTCTATGCTTTCTTCCCAAAAACCTGTCTCTCTCGCTTATTCTAGATAATCTGCAAATAATCAAAATTTAGACCCCCAAGAGTTTTCCTGTTTGGGACTCGATTGGTGTCAGTTTTGATGTCTGCAAAGTTTATTGGTTTCTCACCATGTCATCAAAATGGACAAGAGCCTGTCAGAAATAACATTGTTTCTGAAATATCTTGCAGTCAAATGTAAAATTTTGTTGTAACAAAGAAAAAATATTAATACAACTATTTAATAAAGATATGTTTTTACTTGGATGTTAATCGGTAAAAAGATTTTAAAGGAAAAACTTACAAGATTATCAAAGATATGTGCATCAAAATTATCTCGATAACTACACTTGATATTGGTAGTTTAGGTATACAATCAGACTACAAATGATAATTATTTATTGATTATAAAAATTAATTATATATTATAATAATTGTGTTTTAATAACAAAAAGAATATCGTAATAAAAAATATATTATTTTACTATTACTAAGATTATAATAATATTAAAGGTGTTTTTTTGATATTTTTTAATGTGTGGTTTGAATTTATACATGATTAAAATACAAATAAGAAAATGAGTTTTTATCCAAGAAAGATAACAAAGGATGATATAGGAACATCAAATAGTAACATTTGAGACACGGATAAACTCAAAACCAAAATGGAGTGATAGCCACTTCTAATTGTTAAAGAAATAAATTATTATATTATAGTGTAAGCCATTGACATAAACTAACACATAAAAGATTGAATTTTCCATTTTGAAACAAAAAATTTGATACCAATAACTGAAATTAAGTTATTCAAAGGCATAAATCTAGATAAAAGAAAACGAAAAACCGATAAGAGAATTAGGGCAAACAAAGATAACCCAGTTGAGATTTTGGAGAATTTAAAAAAGAATTTTTTGACTTACTCTTCCAACTTCATTTGCATTGATTAGAACAAACTCGTTTCCTGTTGTGTGTACCTGCAATTTTTTTATTGAGTTATTGGTTGTACACGTAGGAATCCTTCTCAGTTGACTAGCAAACTACGTCCCCGCCGATCCCGCCAATAGCAACAAGTTGGCAAAAACCTGTAAAGAAACGCCATTGGATTCAGCTATTTGGCGTTTTACAGATGCAAACATTGATTCTATACGGGATAATTCTTGAGAAGAAGATGCTAGAAGCTAAAAATGAGAACCTGATCATGGCCGAAATCGAACCAGACTTGAGAAAACTCTGGAAAAATGGTGGAACCTCTAGAAATTTCCTAATTAGAAGCTCCTGAAAAATGAATACAAAACAATGATTGCACGAGTGGCAACAACGAAGATATAGAAGTGTAATTTTGTTATGTTTTCTGATGAATTTTTTAAATTAATCTGTTAAAAGCAAAAAGGGTGTAAACGTATTTTTAAATATATTTTAGTTAATATACGATTATGTATGATAATATGATAAGGGTGTAAAATAAAAAATGAAAAAGAAATAGATATAAAGTAAATTAAATAACTAATTATAAGGGTATAAAATGTAACATAAAAATTAAACATAATTTGATTTTAATATTTGAAACATGGAAGTAAGTGAGGTGTTTAGTTTCAAAACTGGTATATGATGCATAGTAAGTTATATCTCTTGGATTTCAACAATAACTATTTTGCATGCTTATATATAGTATAGATAGATAGATAAGAGTGTAAATTATAAAATAAATATAATATAATATTTAAAAATAACTCACTTCATATTTATGATTTTTAATAATATAATAA